GCCAGCAGTTTTCCAGGTGGGGGGCAGGTCGGCAGGATAAAGATTATAAGTCTGTGTGTATGTGTGTGTGTGTGTGTGTGTGTGTGTGTGTGTGTGTGTGTGTGTGTGGTGTGTGTTTGTGTGTGTGTGGGTGTGGGTGTCCGTGTGTGTTTGTGTGTGTGTGTGTGTGTGTGTGTGTGTGTGTGTGTGTGTGTGTGTGTGTGTGTGTGTGTGTGTGTGTGTGTGCATAATTTAGTGCGTCTACGTGTATATCATGGTGGTGCTATTGATAATGTGATGTTGATGGTGATAATTGTGGCAATATCCAGGCTAATGAGACCAACTCTTCAAATCAAGAAAGCACAACGCCTAAGATTCCCCCAGCGAGAGCCCCCTGACCCTCCCTGTCCCCACCAGGTCGTGGAGGCCATGTTCAAGATGGGCGCGGGCGTGCGTCGCGCGGTGCTCGACCAGTGCGGGGGTTCGGGTTGGTGTTCGAACGCGTCGGTGGTGTTCACGGATCCTCACACGGACGGCCTGGACGTGATCGAAACCCTGTCGATCAAAACGCAGCGTCCTCGTTATCAGGTCCTCCAGCTGACGGCTTCTGAGGAGGCGAGATTGGAGTTCCAGAAGGTGTGTAGAGGCGGTGGATGGGGTGAGGGTGAAGGGAAGGAGGAGGAGTGGGTGTCTGATGCCTTTTTGGGTCGAAGCACAAGAGTTTTGGGGGTTTACTGTGATGGTTAGAGGGGCAGATGTGATTAACCATTCCTCTATTTTACTCTCCCTTTCTCTCTCTCCCTTTCTCTCTCTCCCTTTTTCTCTCTCGCTCTTCTCCCTAATGTCCTCTCTCTCATTTTATCCTGCTCTCTCCTCCCTCCCCATCTTTCACTTTATTCCTTCTCTTTCCATTGCGTTTTCCATTTCCCCCCCTTATCTCTCTCTCTCTCTCTCTCTTATCTATCTCTATATATGTCCTATCTATCAACCTATATATCTCTTTATCTCTTTACCCCTCTATTCTCTCTCTCTCTCTCTCTCTCTCTCTCTCTCTCTCTCTCTCTCTCTCTCTCCGTCTCTCTCCCTCTCTCCCTCTCTCCCTCTCTCCCTCTCTCCCTCTCTCCCTCCCTCTGCCTCCTCCGTCCCCCCCGACGCAGGTGGGCTACTACTCCGCCGACGTGCTCGACCTGGACCGCAGCGTGCTCGAGGGCCCCGACAAGCCCCGCCCACATCCCTGCCGCGCCTGCCGATGCCTGAACGTCGGCTTCGCCTTCCTCATTGACCTGCGGTGGAGGACCAACGCCTGGGTCACCATCTGCGCCACCACGGCCATCATCGGGATCCTGCTGGCCATCGCCATCTTCGTCTTCGTCGCGGTGAGTCTGCGGGCTCGCTTGTGTGTGTGTGTGTGGGGGTAGGGGTCTTCTGAACAAGGGGAAAACACACACACACACACACACACACACACACACACACACACACACACACACACACACACACACACACACACACACACACACACACACACACACGCTCGCATACATCAAGAGAGGTGATCATGATAGATGATGTCTGTACTTCTGATGTTGGTAGTAATGTTGATGGAGTACTTAAAAAGAAACGTTCATACAAAATTAACCGATCTCTGTCTTTCTATATCCCTGTTTATTTTATTTTCTCTATCTATCTATCTATCTTGTTCTCGCCCTTCCCTCTTTCCCTCTCCTCAGATCCGCTCGTGTCGCGGCCGCGCCCCCGAGGGGTCCCAGGCCTTCACGCTCCTGCTGCTGGTGTCCTGCGTGTTCCTGTACTCCGCCATCCTCCCCTACAGCTTCGAGGCCTCCAGCTTGACCTGCGCCCTCAGGCCCTTCGTCACCAGCCTGACCTACGCCATCGTGTACAGCATCTTGTTGGCTCGCTCGCTCATGCTGGCCACGGCGGACTCGGAGGGGTAGGTGGGGGGGAGGGGGTTGGGGGGGGGGGTGCTGGGGAGAGAAGATGGCTTTTCTTCTTTTCTTTATGTTTTATCTTTCGCTTTTTAGTTTTTGTTGTTTCCTCTGTCTTTCTCTTCGACACTTGTTCTTTTGTTTCCTTGAACTGACTTTGATTAACTGCACCCTAACGAACACTTTCAATATTATCATGGTTTGGAAAAGCTATTGTACAATAACAAGTCAGTCTTCATTATTTTCTGTCTACACAAATGGCACCGCTTTGGTCCTCCTTTGTTGACCGTTGCCGTTGCACTGCAGGCTGGTGGGCCACGTGAGCGGCGTTGTGCAGACGGCGCTGCTGTTCTTCATGGTGAGCGTGCAGGCGGGGCTCGGGGTGCAGCAGTGGGTCATGAACCCCCCCCACACCGCCTTCCTGCACCCCCCCTCGGCCAAGGGGATTCAGTACACCTGCTCGGGCGACCGCCTGTACTTCATCGTGTCGCAGTCCTACGTGATGTTCCTCCTTCTGCTGCAGCTGCTGGTGTCGCCGTTCATCGTGCGCTCCCGCAGGAACTACCACGAGGGCCTGCTCTACTTCCTGGCCACGCTGCTCATGACGGGCGTGTGGGTCGGCTGGGCCACGCTCTTCATGCTGCTGCCGCCCGTGTGGAGCGACGCCTGCATCTGCCTGGGCCTCGCGGCGACGCCCACGGCGCTGCTACTCACGGTGTTCATCCCCAAGACCTACCTCATGGTGCGGGCGTCGGCGAGGGAGTCCGCCTGCGCCACGCCCATCAGGCCGATCTCACGCCCGCAGTCCGTGCATGACCTGCCGCGGGTGTCGTCGCTCGCCCTCTACGACTCCATCTCGCACCTGCCGGAGATGTCGTACGCCCAGGTGCACGCCCCCTCGCACGCCTACACGCCGGACCCCACGGCGCACCTGGGCCACAAGGAGAGCCCCTACGAAGCCTACTCGCACTACCAACCTTCCCCGCACAAGGTCACGCAGTTCTAGCTCTCGCCTCGCTCCCGCCCCCCCGCCGGCCGAGCGCCCTCCGCGTCCGCCGCCCGGGACGAAGAGCCACTGCGCTTGTGGATGGCTGATGTAGAGTAATAAATACACAAAATGTCTGGTCGTCTTTCAATCCTCAAAGATGACATATTTGTAATATGAAAAAAAAGATCTGGCAAATATGAAATTAAGAAAACAGTCTAAATCAGAAGGAAAAGCAGCCATAAATAAGAATACTCTTCTTATTAGAAAAGAACGAGAGTGCGCTGTGCATAACAAATAATTAACGTTTATATTCGTCCATGCTATTTTTTCTTATAATATTCAACTTGAAAAGAAACGAACAAACATCTCTTTATTTGCATCTTGTGCCCAAATCCATGGAGGCCATCAAAAGTAAGTGGGCCTTGTTAAACAGATTAACTCTTTCGAAAACGAGGGTCCTTGGGAATATTAATTTAAATGGAGGAAGTCTTTAATAGTGAAGTTGGGAATTTCCATAACACTTCACCTTCAATATCCAAGACTAAAACTGGCGTGCGGGCTTTTGCAGTGTGGGCAAACTTTATCAGTCCACATATTTTGCAGTTTTGGTGGTACTTTTCCTGGTTATGCACTTGATCTTCTCCAGCCTATGTAACCGAAATTGGTAGGCACGACTATATCAATAAACATAAATAAAGTTAATTAAAGTTCCATGTCAAAAGATTGAAATTTTTGGTCTCCTAATTTCTAGGTAGTATTAAGTCATAACACATGTTATTTGGTATCACCCTTGTGAATTTGTGGCTGGTTTCTCCCCTCGTGATTAAATTTCAAAATTATGATTAACATCCAAGTTTCATAAGTTATTCGACTGTTTAAAAAGAATTTTGGCGCCAATCAGTGTTTAAAACCTCCCGCCAATTTTCAGCGAACAGTGGCACATTTCATGGCACTATAAAAAACTATAGGGGGATTTCAGAGCCACCCCACACACATGTCACTTTGTATTGGCAACTACAGGCAGTCTTATCCTAGTTGTGTTGAGAGGTTGCATGTGCCATCGCTCTTTCTTGAAAAAAAAAGAAAATAACCACAGACAAGAAAGTACTGGGTACACACTAGTACTGGATTTGATAAACCAAGGGCCCTGCACACCAAATATTTTTGGGGGGCCCTAGTTCCTATTACAGCTGAATCAAATTATACAAATTTTGTATATATTAGGGTTTACAATTCACAGTAGATTTTCGTAATAACATGTTAATTACTCTATTCCTCAGATATGTTAATTTTTCCCTATTTTTTCTATTTTGCAGTTGATAAATAATCTTGGTAGCGACATCAGCATCAGCAGTAGTATTAGTATTAGCATTATTAGCCTTATTATCAATAGTAGTAGTAGTTGTAGTCACTGCAGTAATAGTAGTAGTATAAGTGTTAAGTAGTTGTTGTAGTAACAGTTGTAGTAGTTGTAGGAGTAATATCTATAAAATTAGTAGTATAGTATTTGGAATAGTAGCAGTACTGCTAGTAGTTGTTGTTGTAGCAACATTAACAGTAGTAGTAACAGCAATAACAGCAATAATAGCAATAGCAATTGCAGCACCAGCACCAGCAGTTGCCCAAGTCACAGTGGCGTGTCGCTAAAATGGACTTGGTCACCATTTATTTGTGGCTGCTTCTATATAGAGGCTCATGTGCTGGTTTCCATAGAATTACATTCATTGTTTCTAGTCACGAAAGAGTGCCAGCCATGATCCAATGAATATAGGCTGGCATGTGTGGGCCCTCACACCGTTTCAAAACTCTGCCAGCATTGTACTTTAATAACTGCATTTTTTTCAGCTCCTTCTTAATTTGTACTTATTCATTTTAAAAAGCATAAGCTTTTATGTCAAATAAGTTACTGTATACAAAAAAAACATCATTACTACACAAAAAAGGGAGTAAAAATAACAAAAGACCCACTATACACAAACCAGCTTATTGAAAGATGAGATTTCCATCTTTCTACATTTTCCAAAATTGCATGAATACGGCAGTGCTCTGCCATTCACAAAGAGGGAAATTAGAGCAGAAACTTTTGAAACTTCTGTATTTCTTTCTTTAACTGGAAACAATTGCGAACAAAAAAGGTTTACTTTTAAGAAATTCCATTCTTAACCTTAACAATAAATATGGCACCCATTTAACTAATGACAAAATATATCAAATCTAAACAATATCAACTCTGAGAATCGGTTTCATACAGCTCAAAATATACAATAAAAAGGTACAAGTGGTTTTAACTAACGAACATTTTGTCGAGAAAACTTTTACAAAATTTCTTGCTTGTACTCCCTTCGTTCTGCCATTTACGAGTATTTACTGATTAAGAATAAAAATTGATATGTTAAATTCAAACCCAGCCTATAAAAAACTAGGCATTCAATTGGATAAAATATTACTATGTAGAAAAAAGTCTTTTTCTTCTCTTTTATCATATACTATTTCTAGCTTTTTTAGAATTACTAGAGAGCATAAACATCATAAGGAGCTTTCTAGAGTCACTTTCAAGGAAGAAAAAGCAAGAAAGTTGTTGCCTGTGTTTCCCATACTAAAGTGAGAAAATATACTATGGCTACTTCATCACCAATCTAAATCTGTAACAGAGGAATAATTGACTATGGCGTGAAGTACATTTAAAACCAAACATCTTTAATGGAATTAAACAATTAGAATTAAATTTGCATCCATAACTACCAACATCTGATTTAATCAAAACCATATAAATCTAACGACCTAAATCCCATCTTACATAAAAATGAGATTGCCATGAATGCATACAGAATATCATTTCACCGAAAAAAAGAAAAACTTAATACTGATATGCACGACTCTGTCCGGTCTGTCAAACCTGCATCGAAAATTCACCGGAAATATATTATAAAAGGCTAACTCAACTCATTGGTATGGGCCACACCAACTGTTTGTACATAAACTATAGTATCAAATATCATTAATTCTTAAATAGGTTTTCACTTTGTTCAGGTTCATTCAACTTGGAGGATATATATCATTCAGTGTTTGAGATACAAATCTGTGTTTCCTTCACTACTGTAAAATAATGAGATATACTCTACCCAAAATGGAAACTGTAATAAAGGTGAATTATCACTACACTATGCATATACACCAGGTATATCATAAAATATGAAAAAAAAAAAAAAAAAAAAAAAAAAAAAAAAAAAAAAAAAAAAAAAATCAACTGAAAACAAATGATAAAAAATCAAACGAAAACAAATGATAAAAAATCTTCTAAATGTAATTCAAATATACAACAAATTAAGCTAATGCACATCTTGGCTCCGAAACAAAAGGTACTTGGCTGATATATAAGGGTATTAAGGACATGGAATATGAGATACACATCTATACATCGTTCAATAAATGCTTTACATTGAAAGGTTATACACATCTGATTTGTCTGGTTATTAGAGATTGCATACATCACATGAAATGCTAAAAATATATGTTTTTTTTCTGGTTCGTGCTACACTGATACTTTCTTTTTTTTAATAAATGCATGAAAAATGAGCATTAATTTCATCATTGTGCTTGGTAAGTGCTAAAGAAGTGAATTAATTAGATCATCGCACCTAAATTATAATCAAAAGTGAATATATAATAAGCTTCAGAAAGTCTCTATAAATGGAGAAGGAACATATATCTTCTTTTCCCATTAATTTTCCAAAACAAAATAAAAAGGGTATACATTACTTTTCTATGAATACAAAATTTTCATTTTCTACCAACTCAAGGGAATGGAAAAAACAATAAAAAATATATATTTCCCTTTAAAAACACAAACCAAAGCCTACATGCACAAAAAAAAATTATCACAATCACCAAAAACATCGCCTGGTTGCCAAAGTATCACTAGCAACCAACAAATCAACACCTGATTCTTCGCTCAAGCATGTAAACTTTCCATCCATTTTCGTATTGCACCAACCATTGCTATCTACTTTAATATATGGCACATGAAGGAAGATACACAACATTACATTACATCATCACACACCATGCTGGACTAAGCAAGTGAAAACACCGCATCTTTTTTCAATCATGCCTTTACAATTTTCTTTTGACTCACAATGGTCATGATAGATGAATGAATGAGCGATTTCTTAGACTACTTTTTCCTTCCAAGTAACGTTACATACTTAGACAATCATGAGATAATTTTCTAGATATCTTAACTCTGTTTGTATCATCTTTTCTCACACACTGAAGTAAGAAAGAAAGAAAGAAAGAAAGTGGGAAAGAAGAAAAAAAATAAAGCTTGAAATATAAAGAATATCTATCTTCCTTACACACATGCATGCTCAATATGGTTTACTTGCCAATAAATATAATGATCATTTACAAAGGATCATTGTGAAAAACACATCATATATAGTTTTACATTTCTGGAGGGTGTGACAAACACATTAAATATAGTTTTATGTCTCTGGAAGGGGAGGGATGATATGGCTAGCACAAAATATACAAAGTTATCTCCTATCCTCAATATTTTGAATATGAACACTATGGGATTATATATATCTATACTGTATATCATAAATGTGAATAATAGGCTTTTCCATAATGCACCACATATAAACTATAGACCTTATATAGGTGTTTGTGTAAAACTTACAAACAAACGCACTCTGAACATGAACCATAGGGGAACTGCACATATAGTAATACTGATGTTTAAAACAAAATATGACTATTAGAATAGAAAAACGGAAAATGAACACAAAAACGAAAAAGGAATACAAAAAAAAAAACTAAAAATAATAAATCATAATATTAATTTAAAAAACCTAAGTGTTAAACACTACAACACCTCAGCTAATGAAACGTCCTAGACCAGCCGTACTATTAAAGGCTCTTTTTACTTTCTTCAAGATTGCTCTTCTCCGCCGGGGAGGAGTTGTTGGGGGCCGAGGTAGGCACTTCCTGGAGTGTGGGGGGAGGAGTGGTGCGAGAAGCAGGTGACATGCTAGGCTTGTCTGTTTGGTGTACCAGCAGGTGGGGAGGCATGGGCAGCTCCTCGTCTGTCAATGAGGCAAGCCAGAAAGTTAATTATCAGATTGGTTCAGTTTTGTGTTGCTGGGTTAAGGCCTATTTGACCGTTATTACATAGCTTGAATTAGTTTCCCAAAGTCTGAACTACAAGAATGAGAAACACAAACCACAAAACAATACTGACAATCTCAATTAATAATGTTAATAGATGTGTTCTAAATCGTCCATATAATTTCACTAGAGAAAATGAAGAACAGGAGACAAAAAAGAGAGACAGCACATAATAATAGCAGAACAGTTCACAAAAGGAAGTAGAGCCTAGGTAACCATCCTCAACGCAGCCAGACACACACCAGAGGACTCGGGAGAATCGGTGGGGCTCATTCGACATCCGCGGGACAAGTACTGCTCCAACTTGCCACTAGATGCCAGGATTAGACCCAGGTATGGGGGGGATGGCTTCAACGGTCTGCAAAGGCATTCAAACTTTTCAGCAAACAATAATTCATTAAGAGTATAAAGTGCCATATACCAATTACCATATTCACAAATTACATTTTCACATAACCACTTCAGAATTAAATCTTGAGCCGTTTAAGTGAACTAAGATTGATACCAACTGATTGATTACTCTTACAAACAACTGTAAGCAGAACATTCAATCCCAAAGGATAAGTGTGCATCAACTTACCTAGTGAGGTACTCTGGATGGTACTGACAAGCCACATAGTAAGGGTGATCTGCCAACTCCATAATTTCCATCCTTTCTCCATCAACATCATGGCCTACAAACTTCATTCCAGCTGCCTCTAAGTCGGCAACAAATTTTGGATTCACTTCAAATCTGCAGAAGAAAAAAGATGCAAACATACCTGATTATTCGAAGAAAAAAAGGTTGCCAATTAGTCCAAAATAAGAAAGAAAAAGGATATTGGATATGGGGTATTTCTTTTACTAAACACACATCCACAAGAACATCAAGTCCATTCAATCCTGTCTTGAACAAATGAGCCAAGGAGATAACCCTTGCAAAAGTGTCTGTAAAGCCTCCAGTACAACATACCTGTGTCGGTGCCTCTCCTCAACAAAGTCCACGTTGCCATATAGCTGACGGAGCTTTGAGTCATGCGATTTGAACACAGTCTGCCTCTTGCCCAGCCTCATGGTGCCCCCAAGCTGGCCTGGGTTGTGCTCAGGCATCTCCACAATCACATGTCGTGTTCCCTCTGGAAACATCTCCTGGCTGTTGGCATCTGTCCAGCCCAGTACATTTCTGTGAAACAAACAGATCGCAATGTTTTTATCTCAAGGAAGAATGAATTTAAGTCTTTATCTTAATAGGTAAACAAACTTGTGGATTTCCATTATGAAAGTACTGCATCAAAAGTCTTGTATTCTGAGAATCGGAAAGCTTACCTTGAATATTCAATGACTGCAGCTTGTAAGCCTAGGCATACGCCCAACAGCGGTTTCTTCATTGTCCTGGCCCATTTACACACAGCGACCTTTCCTTCCATTCCACGCTGACCAAAGCCTCCAGGAACAATAATACCACTGAAAAAAATAAAAATCTAGTCTAGTATAAAAAAAAAAAAAAAATCTTGAATTCTAGCATGGTATCATTATAATATGACATCAATCAATCTGTATAAAAAAAAAAACAGATTTAAGAAGCCATTCTATATGGTGCCATCAGTTACGGTGTCATGAAGCGCCAGTGGAATATACTGTGACACCAACGCTGGCATCATAATTCCATTTTATTTTAGTTGCTGCTGAGTGATCCCCATATTCTGTTCTGGTTCTATCATTTATACTCCATATATTGCATTCCTCTATAGCTCCACCCACCATCCCTCTTCCCACCAATCACGTAAATCAGCTAGACTCTGCCCCACCCTCTACCCAAAATGAGAAACTATCATTGGCAGCATATACGTCACAGTTTCCCCCTCTGGTCCTACCCTTGTCCTCCATACCCCCTATCCTTTATTTCATCCCTTACCCCTCCACCAGGGATATGAGAGAGAGAGAGAGAGAGAGAGAGAGAGAGAGAGAGAGAGAGAGAGAGAGAGAGAGAGAGAGAGAGAGAGAGAGAGAGAGAGAGAGAGAGAGAGAGAGAGAGAGAGAGAGAGAGAAACTGTATTAGACAAGAGACTCTCAGGACAATACACTCAAAGTTGCTGTTCATGGGCAAGTGCCCCATACATGAGTAATGCGTGTCTTTTAAACCATCCAGAGCAAATTGGTTAAATTGCATCATTTACTTATCCTGAACCCAAGAAATGTCCACAACTACCTTATGCATAAGTCTAAAATTCATATATTGATAGTGGTATCATATGGAAATTTCTGTTACAGAGTATTTGCATACATATGAAACCAAAATCATATCATTTTAATAGAATTTAGGACTCATGCTGTTGAAACAATTCACTCAAGCATCAAGTATCTTTGTTTTATGAATATAAAAGCAAAGAACAAAAAAGTAACAAAATAAAAGTGGAAAAGACCTCCAAAATCACTTCACTCACTTTGCCTTGCACACATTCTGCCATGCTTCATAGTACTTGACAGGCCGGTTTGCCTTGGCCTCCTCCTCTAGGTCCTCAGCCTCCATGCACTTCAGATCCAGTTTGCGGTTGCATGCAAGGGCTGCGTGCTGCAGGGCCTTGATCACCGAGGCGTATGAATCCTCCAGTTGTGTATACTTTCCAACCAGCACAATGGTGACACTGTATCGCAGATGCTCATGCCTGCCAGAGGAGGAGACGGAGAAAATGTTAATAAGAGGTAGACCTAGAAAAAATTATAAAACTAAAAGAAAAGAGGTTAGACCAGATTCCTTGAGGAAAATATTTGATCTGAAGTTAATTCAGATGGGAAGAATTAAAAAATAAACAAAAAATAATATATGTATGCAAAAATAACAGAAGATATTAAATTCAAATAAACTCACTTGGTTGAGAGATCACGCCATTTCTTCATGAAGTTCCTGGGGCGATGTGTGTTCAAGTTGAGGCTGAGACGATCGCTGAGAAGATGCGACACCTGTTGCTCCTCTAACATCAATGGCACTGCATAAATGCTTGAGGCATCATGCAAACAAATAACCTGCACAGAAAATGAAAATCAATATTGGCTTTGCTTTAATATCTTCACAAATGGGATATGGAGAAGGATAGAAAGATAGAATCTGTCTCTTCTATTAAAAAGAAGAAGAAAAATTAGAACAATTATTAGCTCTTTTTCTGTCTTTTCATTTACATGTGAGAATCAGAATGCAAATGAGATCATATGTCAGTACTATAAATAGAACAAAGAGAAGAAGAAGAAGAAAAAAACATTAGTGCAATCACATTTACAGATGCATCCCTAACACCAAAAACCAGCAATGCTCACTAAATAAAAATAATCTTCACCTGCTCTGGAGACACATGACAGAAGTTGGAGATCTTATGCTTGACGGACTGGTCAATGGGCTTCTCTGAGCGGCACACAATAAAGTCAGGAGACAAACCCAGTCCACGCAGCTCCCTTACACTGGCTTGAGTTGGTTTGGTCTTGTGCTCTCCGGTTGAGGATGGCTGCGGCACCAGGGACACGTGAACCACACATATGTTCTCTCTCTGCAAAGAGGCAAGATGAACACGGCTATGAGAAATGATTAGTTCTGTCGTATGGGTGGTTCAGATTCAGTTTGTTAGTACAGGTTTGTTAAACTCAAGCAGCTACCTTTGAGGTCACAGGGTTTCTAGTTCAGTGATTTTAAGCATTGTTCACCATGCTTCCCCATTCTTTGGAGTTTTCATAAAAAGAATGAAATTGTAAAAAATATTTTTAAAATCTGCCAACTTTTGTATCTCTGTATGAAGGTAACCTGCATGTAACTTTTAAAATTTGAAGAATGTAGTCAAATCAACACAAACCATCAAGGCAATTTCAATGAGCTAAAAACCTTAGTCATCAGGTACATGTCTATATTTAAGAGTAACAAGATAGTTATAACTATAAATCAAGTTCTATACTACTTTGCTCTTGAACTGAGATTAAAAATTAAATAAGTATATAAATGCGAAAAAATGTATGTGTTTACCTTTGCTCTATACACTAAAGCTAAATCAGTTCTAATATTGCAAAATGTGAAAAATGCTTTGCAATTGGTTAACTGTATCCTCGACCCATTCTGGTATGCAATATTTCAAAGAAAGGTCAGAAAGTTGCCAGCAGAGAACAAAAAAAAAGGCAACCGCAAACAAAATACAACTACAAAAGGTCTCCCTTCTTACCTTCACTCTAAACTGGAACTGCCTGAAGGCCTCAACGAAGGGCATACCCTCAATGTCTCCAATGGTGCCTCCCAGCTCGATAATGCAAACCTCAGGATCCGCATGGTCCCCGTCCACTGGCCGGTGCGCCACTGTCTCTACCCACTCCTGAATTGCGTCTGTGATGTGTGGCACCACCTGAAAGGAAGCAATGTCAGTATACATAAACAAAGAGATTTTTCAACAAATTTTCTTATGCCT